CTCTCTCTCTCTCTCTCTCTCTCTCTCTCTCACACACACACACACACACACACACACACACACACACACAAAGGGGGTCCGAAATCCCCCGACAGGCTCCCAGAATAGAGTTGAGCATATCAAGGACTTTTTTCCTTTCTCTTTTTTCAATTTTTTTCTTGAAAGTTGGGAAAAAAAATTGGACTATTTCTCACTTATATGTGTGTCATTCTTGCGCAGGAACCATGCTAATCTTTTCTGTATTGTTTTGTAAATTCTGTTCCAACTTTAATGGATGTCCCGGAGGACGAACCTATCAAGGATGTTAAGTTTTGTTATTCATACCAAGAAAAAAAAAAGAAAGACCATTCAGAGTTCTAATGAAAGTTATGAAACAAGATAAGATAGCAAATGCATGCATGTCTGCAGTGCCGAGGGGAAACATGAATTCATAACTTCACAAAAGTGAGAAAAACATATTGTGATAAAACTTGAAGATAGATGCATGCATCTCTCATGCCATGTATCTCTCATGCATGCATCTTCAGGTTTGCAAGTTCTCTCACATAGTGCAACATGCATGTGCATGTATCTTTCCATAATCGATGAAAGTACGCATTCACATGATTCATTTCAAGGAGAGCCATGCACATGTGCATGTATCTTTCCATAATCAATGAAAGTATGCATGCACATGATATGCATGTCTTTCTGTGATCTTCTGAATGGCTGGTTGTCGAAGGCCCTCCTCACCTGATGGATAACGACCGACTGAAATTCCAAGTCCCGAAGAACTACTCCCACCATCTCTTTCACCTCTACAAGAAATCACATATGGCAAGAAACAAACGCGGGCATCACAGATGGATTAGCAGATGTGCTATGATGATCCTTGGTCATCTTCAATTACAAAAGCTCAAAAAAGAGACAATGTCATTCCATTGCAACTGAAATGAAGGACAATGAGAGAAGAAATACGACAAAAAGCTGGGCTACCAGCCGGGCCGCCCGGATCACCCTCTTTTCCCGGGCGGTCTGGCCATGCAAGGACCAGGGAAGGTCCCAGCAAAGAAACAAAAAACAAAAAACGACGGAAAAAAAACTATGTTATGCTTTTTTTTTGTTTTTTTTTTGCCTGGCCGGGCAAGTGGTCCCGGGCCACTCTGGTAGCCTAGACAAAAAGAGAAAGAGAAACACAGAATTAGAATTAGAATTAGAAGAAGAAGAAGAAAAAGAAGAAGAAGAAGAAGAAGATGAACACAAGTTGAACCAATGTCATTTCTCTCTCAACACCTCACTCATCTTCTTCCCTCTCATCATCTCCTCCATCATCCTGTTAGTAATAATAATGAACAACAATGAATGGAAGCGCCAGAATCAATGTCCGATTTCTCCCCCTTACTGTCAGCACTCAAAGAACCCTCCTTTGCAGCCATAGCTAACCGTCAGCACTCAACCCTCCTTGCAGCCATAGCCTCACTCCTCCTCACTTGGTAGCTGCCCTAGCTATGGCGGAACATCCACATGCTTCACAGATATTCAAAGCACATACAAACTTTCACTATGCCTCTCCCATCTTTAGCCGCCATAACCATGCTTTTGGATGAAGTTCCAGCACAGTCTGTACCCACACAGGGGCCTTCTACATGCAGCACCAACCAATGAAGGGGAGATGAAGGTCCTCCATAGCCAAAGGTAAGTCTCCTTCCTGGATCCCACCTCCTTCTTCCTCCTCCTACCTCCTATGTTCCTCCATAGCCAGGCTTTAGGTCCATCACCATCACCTCCATCGTCATGGCCTATCTCTACCACCTCCCACTACCCCTCCATAGCCATGGAGGTCTTCACCATCACCCTCTGTGCGGAGCAGCACAATGCTCACTTGAAGAATGAACCGAAGAGAGCTCTACTGCTCTTGGCACCGAATGATATACTCTTTTCCTACGAGTGAATGCTTGCCGAATTGCAGCCTGCAACTACCCCCCAGCACCTGAATCTACCCTAGTACCAGTCTATGTACAGGCCCTTGACATTTGTAACATGTGGGAAGTTACCTGATTTGCTGCCAAAGGTCCCTATCAGATTCTACAACTACCCGTGGCCGTCTAGACTCTAGAGCTTCTGGCAAGTTCTTTCTGTTTCCAAAACTTCAGGTCTGTCTCTGTGTCAATTTCCGTTACAATTCAACCCCAGCTCGAGGTACAGAAACACAGCACAGAAAAACAGAGTGAGCACAAGAACACAGATTTTGACTCAGGCAAGTACAACGCACATGCAAGTTAGTGGTAGGCCACACACACACACTCAGAAAACACTTTAAGTCGCAGCAGAACACGGAAATCTCAGCGAATCTGTCCAGCAAGCAGGAATACTCAGAAAACAGCAGAAATCTCAGACTAATTCTGTGCCGGTCATTGCAGATGGAAGAAACCAGGCAGAGAGAGAGTGTGAAGAGAAAGGGCACCAAGAAGGGGGAGAGGACAAGGACAGAGGAAAGGAAGGGGCAGAAAGAATGCACGGAGACGAGGAGGGGGGGGGGCGGGGGGCACAAGGGGGCAAGCAGCGAGGAGAAGGCGGGACACAGAGAGGAAGGAGCCAGAATGCAAGGCAAGGAGGGACGGCTGGAAGGAGATGGTACAGATGTAATGTGAGGCATTGCCCTTCCTCTTGCAAGGAGATATATTTTACCTCGATTGTCAAGTGTGTCAGGTACCACCAAGACAACAGAGAGTTCCTGTCTGTGTACTGCCTTCAACCCGAGTCTCTCAGAAAGGGCCCAGTCCCAGATCGTAGACAGGTCGTCACAAACCTACATTAACGGCGCATGGAAGATTCAGAAGGTCTGAAGAAGACAGGACATAGGCAGCATCAAGCAGATGAATAATGGATCAGCAAAAGAGTTAATCGTGAAGATCCTACTCCTTTTTCCCTTCCCTTATTTTCGCTACAGATCATAGCAGCCAAAATATCAAGCCGAAAAAGTTCACCTCCAGCACCTTTGTCTTTATCTCTTTTGCCTTTCCTATTTGCAGTTGTGCCACTCAACATTTGTCTTTATCAAGTTTATCTTTTTCACCCCGCACTAAGAACACTCCTGTCGTTTGCAGAGAGTGTTGATAGGTAGTATGACCTCGATGCCGTGGCACTCCAAATCTCCAAAAGAGTTCAACTCCACTGGCAACAAACTAATTATACCGACTTACAAGTTACAAAGGGATTTAAATGACTGCACAATTGTTCAAAAGCAATAGCCCAAAAGTATTCAAACACGAGGCACAAAAGTGCGGTTAACCACCCTTCTGCTTGCTTAAACCACCTACTTCATTTAACACGAGGTGGCTTAGCGCAAATACAAAAGCGGTTAAATGAAGGAGATATCCACAGCCAGACGTTATACTTAGCTTTGAGGTTATAGTACTCGATGGGGTGTGTGTGTGTGTGTGTGTGTGTGTGTGTGTGTGTGTGTGTGTGTGTGTGTGTTGAAACTGTCACCACGTTATGAAAGGAGGCAGAGTACAGGGGGAGGTATACTCCTGTTCATTTCTTCAGATCTTCAGCTTATATTTTGTCTGTTTTCTTAATAATGCTCATTTGTATGCATTTACTAGTAGTACACAAGGGGAGGGAGGAAGGAAAGGGGTAGGAGGTGGAGTTCTATAGGAAGSGRGGGGGGGGGGGRGGGAGAAGGGGTAGAGGAGGGAAGCGGAGTGGCAAAGAACAGAACAGAGGCATGACGAACTTCACACGGGTTCTCCATACTCGTTGCTGGAGCAGACTACTCTAGAATGGCACGAGAGGTCAGTAAGCGTTCGGATTGCAGGAGATTTCGAGTGGAGCAGCATCCGTCATGAATGAACCGATATGCGAATGCATATGCTTGCGCTGCGTGCAGATCTCACTGACGAAGGTCCTAGGTGAACTGTGCTTCGTCCCAATAGAGCATGAGATTGGCAATTTCTGGTCCGGCGTTAGTGCCCAGAGGGATACCAACCACCTAATGGCGCAGCTTACCATATGTTGTATAAATATACGTGATAGAGACCACAAACCCCAGATGCTGTTCTATTTCTCACACTGAAATGGTGGCCGAGCCATATGAAGTAACCCACTCAACGCGATGAGGACCTCCCACAGTCATATACATTTGTACTGGCCTCCTGCCCTGTGGGGATCAACATCAAAGCATAGTCATGTGCTTCACAAACAGCATTTAGGACATTGTTAAGAATCCTGTCGTTTGGTAGGTTTGTGTACATTATTATAAAATCTGCTGTGTGTGGCGTACAACCTCGAAGGGATTGTGCATTTCGCTTGAGATCCAAAATGACTTCATCAGCACTTTGTACGATCCAGCAAAGTCGCACATCACTTTCTCGGTAAAGCTCATTGTCCTTGCTGCGCAAAGACTTGATCGCGCCTTGGAGAGCATAGCTAAGTGAGTGAGATGCAAGTGTCTTATGAGGGGACCTGTTATGCACATCTGAGGGTCGGCGGGCTGTTGAACGAAGGTTGAATTGGGAGAGGTTGATTCGCTGTGTAACTCCGAGAATTGGATTAAGAGCAGATGGAGATTTATGTGCTTTGAGTGCAATGTGGAGATAAGGTAGGGTGTCGGTATGTCGATAGCCCCAGTGTTGATTGAAAAGCGGGTGGCGATCGAGGATACTGGCCAGAGATTCCGATGCTTGATCGTACGTAGAGCTGTCAATATGCTGTCATAACTTGTATGCGTACCAACGTTTGCAGCAAATTGCCATGTTGTGTGATGTTTTATCAACAGGTACTATGGCGAAGTGCTGCTGTAGCTGCCGCAGAGATGTATTAGCAGTTTGTGAGGCAGCCTGAGTAGGTACTTGGTACGGCGCTCTAGAAAAATTCCATGGGCATCTTGAAATAAGTGATGTGCGCCATCTGCGCAGCTGAGGAAGACTATCAGCAATTACGGAGTTATTGTTACGTGCTGATCTCGTGGTCGCCATGAACTTAGCAATATACTCGTACAGGCCAAGTTTCAATGGTGTCATCACATCTGCGGTGTCGGCACTGAGGCGTTACTTGGAGCCCTCAACGAAGAGAGCCTGTAAACGTGTCTTCTACAGCGTGGAAGTGCTTGTCGGCTGGGGGAGGCATATTGGGTGTTATGCTGAGCGCCACTTCTGTAAACTTACAGAGCTAGACACAAATTGGTGGGGCCATCTTGTCCCAGACATGTATTTCCTTGGCCAGAGCAGGCCGTGGATGTAATTCAGCGACCTCTGGTAACCGAAGACCACCCCGTAATTTTGTAGTTCGAGCAACTTGATGCATGTGCACAACCTGAATGAAATTTAAGAACGGGCTGGAGCCCGATCATGTGCAGAGCTCGAATACGGTAGGCGTGAATGTTGCAGACCACGGATCATGCATTCCTGTTGGCAAATGTCCGGTGTGAGATCGAAGTCCGAGACATTTGCCTGCAGCCATTGCAGCAGGCAAGAGCCCGAGGTAGGGTTAGCGTGGGAAAGGGTACGAGATATGGATTGCCATTCCCATTCGACTGCTTGTGCCAGTGGGGCCAAGCGCACAGCATAGAATGGACCCGGGTTAGTGTCAATGATTGAGGGTCTGTCGCCGAGCGTTTGTGTTGTTGGGCGACTCGTGGAAGGAGGATTTGGACCGCCTCATGAACGAATCCACCCCAACAACCCCTTTTCCACCCACATGAGCAGATCCACAATTTAAACAGCTTTACCTCTTTAGCAAAAAATATAAAGCACATTAAGATGAGCAGAGCCAAAATTGAAAAAGCTTTACGTCTATAGCAAACAATGAGAAGTACAATAAAACCAACCATTATATTGCCTTTTCTTGTGTGTGGGTGTCTGTGTGTGCGCGCGCGCACGCAAGAGAGAGAGAGAGAGAGAGAGAGAGAGAGAGAGAGAGAGAGAGAGAGACGGACGGACGGACGGACGGACGGACGGACAGACAGACAGACAGACAGACAGACAGACAGAGACAATAAGTGCAGAGGGCAGCAAGCATGGTGTCACAAACATAGTTGTGAGACTTTTTAGGAATGCGCCAAGAGGAAACACAGAGAGAAGGTTGAAAACATAGAGTTGCAGACATATGACAGAGACTGAGAGAGACTTGAAGAAGTGTGATGAAGGAAAGAAAAAAGGACATCACTGAGAGCAGGGAAGCCATTGGTTGCTCACTTACGGAGAGAGAAAAAGTTCATTCAGTGCGTCTAAAGCTTTCATAATATCCAATTTCGAAACTAGGAAATCTCTCTAACGGACCTCAATCGAGACCAGATTTGAGTCGTGGTAGGCTAGCCAAGCTATACATATGTAGGAGCAGGATTGATCGGCAATGCAAAATAGAGCTGACTTGAAACACAGGGCTTCATTCCACTGCACGATCTACACTTCACTACATCATCAAAGCACTTGATGAAAGAAAGCGACAGCCACGAGCCGTCAGTAAGTTTTCACTACAGTGGAACGAACCCGTCAGTCTGACTTTTGACACCTGACTGACCTGCTGAATCGAGTACTTCTGGGAGATGTTCATCCTTCCACAAAGAATTGGACGCCTGAGAACATATGGCTCTAGCGCAGATATCCGTAATGCCTCGTCTCCACAAACAAACTTTCTGTACTTTCGCTTCTCACCCTCCTTTTTCTCCGATACTCTGTCACTCATTTCTTCGTTCGCCTCTGCAGCTGCGCGGCCTTTACTCCCGCTCTCAGTGCGCAGTTTCTTCTCCTGCAACTGTTTCTCCTCCTTATCTTTACCAAGTTCGTCCCCTTCCCCTTCTTCACCATCACCGTCATCATTTGGCTTTTCGTCACTGCTGCCACGCACTCCTCTAGAACCTCTAGGGGAGTTTTCAGGGGAGTCTCCACTTTTGTCACTACTACCATTGGATTCATTCTTCTCTTCCTGGGAATCCTCTGCCATGTGGAAAAATACCAAGAGGACATGCAAGAAAAACATACATTGCATGTCACTAACTCCTGTTGGCCTGAGTTATAGATGCAGGCAAATCTAAGAAATCTTTCTTTTATTTTATTTTCTGTTTTTGATCGGATCACAGCAGAATATCAAACAGTAAATCCGAGAAACATACATTATATATCACTAACAATATTTGCAATATCTCAACAAAGATGGGTTGGCCATCAATCACTAGGAAGCCCAGGCGTGAGGGACTAGGTCTCCCAGATCCTAAACAGAAAGCAAGAGCCCTGCAAATGAAATGTACAATCGGACTCCTTCACAAAGAGGACTTAACCCAGGGTCGGATTGGCACTTGATCGGGAAACTCGACCTGGTCAAAATGCCACCAGGTAATACGAAAGGCAGCACCTGGTTGGACTGCTTCGCTGGTAGAAACGTGAACCTTGCGAGTGAAGTAGTACCAAACGGAGGCGAGGTTCACATCCTTCCCAGTTGAGCCCATCACAGCCAACATTGTGAAATCCTCAACTCCAAGCAGGAATCCGAGACCTTGACCTTCTACTCCCTTCACAAAGTAAAGAGCATAAGTTCCCAGACCCCGGGGGCTTTTCGGACCGTACAACAATATTGCAGAAGTGGAATACGACCCTCATGAACGGGGCTGGACTGAGAAACTGGTGAGAAACACAATGCTAATCGCAGCGCACTCAGTCAAATTTGGATACCAACTAGGCCTGACAACAGAAGACCCCGCTACTGGCCCTACCCGAAACCAAGAAGAGATGGAGATGCCTCCTCCTCAAGTTCAGTCCTTCAGCGCCAATTGAGATACCATGGAACAAGTTTCGGTGCTGAAGGCGCTGAAACCAACTTGCTTTTGCAGTCTTCCTGTGTGGCTGATTCCAAATGAGGCCCTCCAGGTTAATCCTAATCGCTTCTCCGGGAACGATGAAAATACTCAGACCCTGACAACTCAGAAATATTTGCAATATGTTCACTGACCAGTTGGGTGAGTCTCTCTCTCTCTCTCTCTCTCTCTCTCTCTCTCTCTCTCTCTCTCTCTCTCTCTCTCTCTCTCTCTCTCTCTCTCT